ACTTCGATGAGTTGCAGCGGCAACAACAGCGGCACTTGCAACAGCTTTGACCCAATTCTTTTTGCTGCACCACCCGCCCCACGCTGCACCACAACTCAACTCAACTCACACCCACAGCAAAAAGCGTCTTCTCATGGCCTAATGGATGCCATTGCTACTGTTTGCTGTTGCTTGTTGTTGCCAGCACTGGCATATACTCTGCCCTCAATCGGACACTTTGCAACACTGAAAACGTTGTGGCAAAACATTTGTCATTCATGTAACCTCAACCTTGTTGCCTTAAACGCAAGTCCCCAGAGAACTTTATGGACAAATAACCACTTGGAATATCGGGAAACATCACTAATAAATATTACAATAGGCAGCAGAAATGCCATAAATATTGAATATTTATTAATTGAAATGAAAGTTCTAATGTAGAAATAACGCTTAAATGATTCTACGTACAGCAGCTGTGAGTGCAGTGTAGTCAACGCTTCGGTGTTGGTTTTTAAGTTCATTTCTGCTGTCGGCATTTTCACTTTGGTCGAGATTCAGACGCTGTGGCGGTGGCACTGCCATTGCCACCTTGGTAACCCCACCACAGAGATGGGCTGATGGGCTGATGGGCTGCCGAAAGGTTATACCAACAATAAAATCCCCAGCAACAAAAACACCTACGTGCAACAGCAAGTGGCAGTGGCAACAACAACAAGAGACAGACGCAGATGACAAACGCATGCAAGCGGCGATGATGAAGTGTCAATGCAATGAAAACTAAACCAATAAATTGTGAGAGCGACCCAAATAGTTGGCTAGAAACTGGCGTGGCAAAGAGGATTTTGCTTTTGGGCCAAGAAAAAGGTAGAAGCCCATCGGCAGGAATTTGCTGTTGTTTTCCCCAACCCAACCTGGCGACGCTTTGTAAACCTTTTGGCCGGCCGTGCAACAAACACAGAGAGCAGCACCACATTTGGTCAGCAGCTCTCTCTCTCTCTCTCTCTGTGTGTATGAGAAATTGAAGCGCAATTCAAGTCGGCGGTGAAAGTAACAAGATACTTTTAATAAGACATCTCTTGGGTTCGCTTAAGATGCGTGCCTCGTGCGACAAACACACACACAAAAGAGAGCCTGAGCCTGAGGCTGAGGCTGCCCTTTACCCAAGGCCCAGACCCAGCCTACCGGGCGGCTAGCCACTGCGGCCCGAAACCAATCGAAAATCTCATGCAAAAGCTAGCCAAAATAATTGAGCAAAGTGGCAGACGGCAGATGATCGCTCGCTTTGGGCTAGACTGACTGGCGCGTGTTACTTAATGTGTGCCCCAATAGACACATTCGGGGAGGATGGCAGGCAGTGGCCAACCCCACTGCTGGCCACTTTCTGACCGAACCGGAGCACGGCAGTCCAGCCAAATGCGATCCGTTCCGATCCGTTCCGTTCCGTTCCGATCGATCGCCTGGCGACGAAATTACTCCAATTTCGAAACGAGTCTTTTTGGTCATATTTAGCAAACAGGAATCCACACACACACACACACACACATACACACACACACACGCGGCGCCCCTAAAAACTCAAAACTGCAAAGTGGAATTGAAATGGCGATGAAATGCCTGCCGCAGTCGCAGTCGCAGTCGCAGTCGCAGCTTCAGTCTCTGCCTGCACAGTGGGCCAAAAAGGAGAGAAAACTGGAGCAGTCGTTATAACCAAAAATGTAACACGGGACACGGGGACAAGTCACTTGGATAGATCGAACCATTTTGAAATTTGAAAAGAGCCATCTTTGAGGGGAAATTCCGAGCACTTTTGAAGCACTCCACCCTGCCAGTCACCCCAGGCAGAAAGGATTACCTAATGCTGGAAACTGCTAGCTGTATAGAGAGAGAGAGAGAGCAAAGCTAAGACACACTGGAAGAGAGAGAGCGAGAGCGAGAGAGAGCTACGCTCATTCTTTATAAATCTGCTGATGGTTTTTTGACTGAAGTTGGAAGCAGGGAGGCACATCTCGCCTCGAGTAACTATTTTGTATGTACTTGCATTCATTTGAAGTACTTTTAAGGAGTTAAATGTTAAGTTCCTCTCTCTCTCTCTCGCACACACAGTGTCTCCGTTTATGTGGTGTCTGTGTTGCATTCATCCCACTGTCGCTCCCATTTCGCATCGAATGCGACCTACTGTGCGTGGCGGGGATAGCAGGTTATCAATTGCTGTTGTTGCTGTTGTTGCTGTTGTTGCTGTTGTCGCTCATCCTATTATTTCAACGAGAGCAAGTGCAGCAGCAGGCATCCGTGCAACGGTGTTGCTGCTGTTGTTGTGGGCCATGCCAAATGCGGCACTTGGCAAAAATATTTTATGGAAAAGTGGAACAGTTGATGAAACATTACAGCGACGCCAGCCCCTGCCCCTTCCCTCCTGCCTACTCCCTTCCCCCATGTAGCCCCGTACCCCTGTAGTGCCATCAAAGGGCGCCCACGCCCATAGCTTGGCCCCCACAGGCTTGATGATTGCTTGCCACAAATTGGAGCATGGGCCGTGGATCGTGGACGCTGGGCAGTGGCTGCATGCGGCACGTGGTGACAGTGGGGGAGGGGAGGGGAGGGGATGCGCAGGGGCTGCCGCTGCAGGGGGAATAGAAAGTGCAAACAGTTAGAGGACTTGTCCATGCAATTGTCGTCGTCTGGCTGCCTAGCGAGCGTCTGCTTCTGTAACCAATGCCCATTGCAACTGAAAGTTGAAGCCGAAGCCGAGACCGAGGCCGAGACCGAGAGCGAGGCCGAGGCTGTCCCTCCTCACCCATGCCCGTAAGCAAACAGAGACCACTGGTAGGGGGGGGGGGGGGGGGGGGGGGGGACACCAAACGACGCATGCCACAAGCAGAGGCAGTGGCAGTGGCAACCGGCAAAGCTGTACCTGAACAAGTCGTACTTGTAGCTGGAGTTGGATCTTGGGACATGGAACTTGGCACTTGGCACTTGGCCGACTGCCACACTGAGCGACTGCCTTGCCGAGAGCTTCGGCTCGGGGATCTTTTCGTATCGTTTCGTATCGGATCGGATCGGAGCGGTCTGAATGAAAAGAAGAAATGAAATTTCGCTGCCAGCGTCGCTGTCGCTGTCGCTGCCGTCGCTGCTCCCGCTGCTGCTGCGCATGCGAAGTGTTCCGCTACGAGAAAGCAGGTGTATGCAGCATTCGGCGCTAACCCACGGCGCGGACCAGACGCGTTTTTCCAGACGAAGCTCAAGGCAGCTCGATCCTCTGCCGCTGATATCCGAACATATCCGTATTCGAGAGTCCCAGAAATAAACAAAAATCCACCCAAAAGCAACCGACAAAACAAAACACAAAAGCAAATACAACAAGCCAAAAACAAAAACAAAAACAAAAACAAACAAAACCAAAAGCACACAACAAACGGGCAATAACCGTTTCGAAGCGGTTTCAGATAACGGTTAATAAGTGAACAGTTTGCAATTTTTGTTGTCGTTTCTGTGTCCTTTTTTAGTGCATTTTTTCTTCTTTTTTTTTGAATATTTTTTGTTGTTGTCTACGCGCACAGAGAGAGAGAGAGAGATTAAGTGCTCCACTTGGACAGTCTGTCGACAGTTAATTGACCGCGTGCAACTCGCAATTAGCCGCAGTCACTGCGCCCAGTGCACGCCCCGCCGAGTGACTCGTGCCCCTCATTTGCTGCAGCGACGACCCAGACCCAGCATCAGAAACAGCAACAGCCAGTAACGGTTACTGTTTACCAGCAGTAAGTGCAACAGTTTTCGAAAGTTGCCTCAGAACGCAGACTCAGACGCAAACGCATCCTGTTTGTGGATCGAGAGTTTGGAATTTGGAAGTGGAATTCGAATGCGTATTGGAATTGGAACAGCGAAATTGGGCCAACAGCGTGGAAGGTGAGTGCAGAAGTTCGTCCTGCAGCATACGGAACGTGGAATCAAGCTAAACAAAAGGAGAAACAGAAGCAGAGACAACGTGTAAACAAATATTCAAGATAAAATATATCAAAATAATCCACAAAGTAGCTGCCCCCAGAAGAAAGAGTTCCCTAGAACTCTTCTTTAGTTTCATTTGAGGAAAATGGAGCCATAAACATGGATCCTTCCTTACTGTATTGAGTAACTTTCAAACTAAAACTGTTGACAGTTTCCAGTTCCCCTGTTGAGCATCTTTCAGAGAGTGTTCGAGGACATGTTCAAGGTCACTTGCCTTTCCCTCAATACTTCTTCCGGGTTCTCTAACTCCTTTTCACTCTCTCTTTCTCACTCTCTGCAATTTGCAGACCGTTTGCGGCCTTTTAATTGGCCAACTATGCATTCATATGCCTTTATTTGTCTGTGTGGCCCATGGCTGACCCACTTCACTTATGGGGAAATTCTATTAACACTTCTCACCTCAACCCCAAGCCACAGCCTCGCCTCACCTCGCCTCACCTCAACTCAACTCAACTCACTCCAACAGTCACTTTTGGTCGGGCATCGCTGCCGGTGACCATCATTAGGCGCAGGCAGACAGAATTCTTGCTTCTTCTTCTTCTTCTCCTCGCTCACTCTCTTTTTGTGTTTTTGTTTTCACTTGTCTGCCGTGGGTGGGGGCAGCTACGTAGGTGAGGGTGTAGAGGGGGGGCGCTTGGCGTTATGGTGACAATCAATCATCATTCAGCTAACTGGAAAATTGCTAATAAATTGCAGTTAGCAGCAAACACTTTCATGAGTTGCCAATAATGATGTTAATGGGCGAAGAAAAATAAGAGAGAGAAAGATACAAAAAAAGCGAAACCCAAGCCAAACAATTGAAGCACTTTCTTCGATTCTGCTTCACCCGCTCCCCTGAGCATTTCTCTGCTCCGTCGCTCTCCGCTCCGCTCCTTCTACTGTTTCTTCTTCTACTTCTCCCAAATAATAACCTACTGTAAGCCTTAGAAAAAATATCAAATAATGTTCAACAAATTAATTACACATCGAACAACAGCGAAAACAACAACGACAGCAGCAGCAACAGCAACAGCAACATCATGACACACACTAATCCAAAAGAGCAGCAGCAGCTGCGGCGTCACAAACAACAGCAACAGCAACAGCAACAACAACAACAACAGCGCTGCAGAAAACATCCGCGTCAAGGTGGTGGTGGCAATGAAATCGGTGCTAAGAAGATTTGGCTGCCGCTTATCATTTTCCTTTCACTGCAGGTGAGTCGAGACGATGCAAATAATTAAAGTCAATTTAAGCCTAAGCTGCAGACACAACAGCAGCAAAAGCAAACAGCAGCAATAGAAACTGCAAGCAGCTTATGAACAGATAATTCGCATTAAGCACTGTCCAAACGAGTTTCTTGCCTAGATGCTGCAGCTAACAACCGTTTTTTGTTGGTACTCGTTTTAGGATTAGTTGTTGGCTTAGTCTTGTTCTCAGTTCAGTATCAAATGATAACTTTAGTTATTTTTGCCTTGCCAGAAGAGCTGCCAGATGCAGCTGCTTCCTCGTTTAGCCAGTACTTCAAAGCAGCCGGCTTAAGCATCTCTTACTCTCTCCCGCTCTCCCTCTCTCAATTTCGTCAGTCTGGGCTGCGCTGCCTAACTGCGTGTGCATATCGGTGGCTGTGCCTGCGCCTGTGTCTGTGTGTTCAAGTGAAAGAGCAGCCAGCAGTCAGCAGTCAGCAGCCGCCAAGCGCTGCTTGGAATGAAATGGAATGGGTTGGGATGGGATGGGTAATTGCCATGGCCTCGTTTTGCGCTTCAATTGCACGCGTGTGCCCGCTGCCCCTCTGCGAATATATGCATGTGTGTGTGCATTAGTTCCTGTTATATTTTGAGGTGCAAATTTCGATGGTTAAAAGGGAATTTTATTACCGAATTGATTCACAGCGAATTTCCTTTTGTAATTTGTAACGAACCTTTGGCCTGACGTAATAGCATGACAACTTTGCGCCTAAATATACTTATTTGGTAATCCTTTTTGGATTCTTTGATAGCATTTACCACAAGCCACAGCCTGAGTCGGAGCCCAAGCCACGGCCACGGCCACGGCATTCCTTTCTCTTTTGTTTTTGGACTCTTTCCCCCGGAGGGAACGGAACATATTAAAATTCCATATGCATCCGTGCCTCGGTAATACCCATCAGAAAAAATCTCTTGGCACCACAATCGTGACGTTAGAAAGTTTCGTTGTTATTTTTCTGCTGCTTTGTTTTTTTTGTCTCTCTTTCGTATTTGTTTGCTGGTGTGCATGGATGAGGATGTATTCTGGGGCTATGACACAATTTGCGCTGGCCACAAACCGATTTCCCACTCCTTATGGGCGCTCCATCTGCAGTTCCTTTTCGCTTTCATGTTGCGAAAAGGCTGCCAAACTGCTGCCACACTGCTGCATAGCGTTCACCTTTGACCCCCGCGCAATGTTGCCTCTCAAGTGGCTGCCAAATTCCTTCCCTCTGCACCCTCCTTGCAGATTCTCTGCTAATGTTTCACTTTCTCTCGATTTGGTGCGCTGCCAGTCAGAGCGACCCACAGCCAGACATCCAGACAGACAGACAGCATCTCCAAGAGCTTAGCATCGGGCCCGAGGTCAAGATTAGCAACAACAGCCGGCTTTGGCTTTAGCTTTGGCTTTGGCTTCAGTTTCAGCTTCAGCCTCATAGCTTCCCCCGTCCGTCCGTCCAGTTGCAGCGATTACAGCAACGATTTTGCACGGAACATGTGGGAATGGAACACGGCCACTTGGCACTTGGCACACATTTCAATTAACGCAGCAGGCGGAGCAGGAGGCGGTGGATGATTGTGTTCCGGCTTGGAGGATAAATCAACCGAAAATCATATCAAATCTTTTGCGTCTCTCGTTTTGGTATTCATGGGGTGTTCCATTCCCCTCTTTGGCTCCCCCGAATGCGGCGATAAATGTACATTTTTATTATAGAATTTGTTGTTGTTGGCTTTGGGGGGTAACTCGTTTGGCAATTGCCATTTACCATTTACCATTTACCATTTACCTTTTTTTGTCGTCAATCGTCTGCCGCACATCACTTTCTACCAAACAGGATTGCTGCAGGATGCCTCCAACGTTGCGACATCCCATCCCATCCCATCCCATCCGATCCCAGTTGGAAGCTGGAGATGCTCTCAGATGCTCTCGCTCTGTGGGGCTGGAGAGAAAGTTGTTTTTGGCACTGCGGCACAGATTTCGGCCCAGACGACGCAGCAGCAGCGGCAGCAGCAGCCGAAGTACCCTGAACTGGACATCATTCGCCACTGTCTCTCCCCTCGTTGATAGGCCAACTAATTGCCAACGAATGAGCTGCCAGGCATCTGGGAATTCTCAAAGCAAAACCTTCGAAAGTTAGCCAAGTTAAAGGGAAGCTGCCGGTTGCTGCTGCCGATCAGTCACCTCAATCGGGCATTGATTTCATTCCGTTTTGCTTTTGGATCGTTTGTCTGTGTGTCTGGTTCTAGCCTTGACATCGCCTTCTTTGCCAGGCGGATCTCCGAGACAATTGGGTCGTGCCGCATGTGGCACAGTGTGGAGTGGAGGAAAAAAGCGAAATTGTTGCAGCAGCTTTTTCTTTTTTCTCTCTCTCTCTCTTTCTACTCTGCTCTTGTCTCGACTGCCGCTGCCGCTGCCTTATGCAATTGAGTTGCATGCCGCACCGCATCCGCCACTGATGCGCCAATTCCACTTGACATTCTCTGCGGCAGTGCAGCAATTGGTGGCAGCTTCATATAGAGAGCAGACCATTCATGATTTTCTTTCTTTCTCTCTGTTTTCTCTTTACCCGGAAATGGGTCGCAGGTTGCCCTGGTCTTGGCGGATGATGTTGAGGTGGTGAAGGCCATTGCCGGTGGACCCGACGATGATCTGGCACTCGCCCTCTCCGAGCACGAGAATGAGCTGGATCAAATGGCACAGGAATCGGAGCAGGAACAACAGCAGCAGCAGATCCAACAGCAGCAGCAGCAGCAGCAACCTTCGCCGTCCGTGCTGGTGCCCAAGGTGCAGGTTCATTATCAGCACAACATGCCACCCGCTCCGCCCCAACTGGGCCTCACATTGCGCAGTAAGTCTAGCCCAGAGCGTTGTGTTGAACCTTGCATCCAATGCCTAAGCTCTTGCAGGCAACCATCAAAATATTCCGCTAAGTTTTGGCCAACCCTTTGGACCACCGCCGCCGCCTGGCGCACAGTTCTACAAGGGACCACCGCCACCGCCCCAACGACAGCAGCAACAACAGCAGCAGCAGCAGCAGCAACAGATGCAGGTGCAACAGGTGCAGGTGCAAGTGCCCGACCTGAGTGTGGGCGCATCGAGCAACAACGAAATTTGGGCATCGCCCGTGCAGGACATGCCCAAGATCATCTCGCTCGATGTGAAGTGCGAGAAGAACGGCATGAAGGTGTTCGTGCAGTTCGACAAGCCCTTCAACGGCATCGTCTTCTCCAAGGGCCACTACAGCAACATGAACTGCGTGCACCTGCCCTCGGGACTGGGACGCACCTCGGCCAGCTTCGACATTGGACTCCACGAGTGCGGCACCGCGGGCAACACGGACAACTACGGCCAGGGCTATGGGCACGACCAGAGCGTGTCGGGCGCCGGCACCGGAGCGGGCACTTACTTTGAGAATATCATTGTCATCCAGTACGATCCGCAGGTGCAGGAGGTGTGGGATCAGGCGCGCAAGCTGCGCTGCACGTGGCACGATCAGTACGAGAAGAGCGTCACCTTCCGGCCCTTCCCCGTGGACATGCTGGATGTGGTGCGGGCGGACTTTGCCGGCGACAATGTCGGCTGCTGGATGCAGATCCAAGTGGGCAAGGGACCGTGGGCCTCGGAGGTCTCCGGCCTCGTGAAGATCGGACAGACCATGACCATGGTGCTGGCCATCAAGGACGATGACTCCAAGTTCGACATGCTCGTGCGGAATTGTGTGGCCCACGATGGCAAGCGAGCGCCCATCCAGCTGGTGGATCAGCGGGGCTGCGTGACCCGACCCAAGCTCATGTCCCGCTTCACCAAGATCAAGAATTTCGGGGCCTCCGCCTCGGTGCTGTCGTACGCCCACTTCCAGGCCTTCAAGTTCCCCGACTCCATGGAGGTTCACTTCCAGTGCACCATCCAGATCTGCCGCTACCACTGCCCCGAGCAGTGCTCCTCGGAGACGAACCTCCAGGATGTGCACCACCTGCAGGTGGGCCCCGAGTCCCAGTACGGTCCCCCGCCGCCCCAGCTCCATGTGGATGCCTACCATGTGGCGAGTGCCATTGGCAAGCGACGCGACGAGCGCCGAGTGCAGCGTCGCGCCCGTGCCGTTGCCGAGCCCCAGGTGGGCCTCAATCGCATCATCAAGGTGGTCTCCTCCGGCGATCTGACCTTTGCCATTGACGAGCAGTCGCAGTCCGGCAATGCCAGCAATGCCTCCGGCTCGACTGCGCCCCAGACCATGGTGTTCCCCGTGCGCGAGGAGGGACTGATATGCATGACCACGCCGGGCTTTGCCATCACGCTGATCGTGCTGCTGGGCATTCTGGTCACCTCCTGCCTGACGTCTGCCATTCTGTACGTTCGCCTGCGCCCCTTCTCCTCGTTCAGGGCCAAGGAGCGGGCCGTTGCCTTCACGAATCCCCAGCTGGCTGCGGCCGCCGCAGCCGGTGCTCTGCCCGTCCTCCAGCTGGCATCGCCAGCCGATGTCCAGGGCACGCTCTCCAAGAAGCGGGCGCTGTCATGAGCTAAACCCAACTGTTGCTAGTTCCGGTACTGGTTGCCTGGTTGCCTGGTTGCCTGGTTGCCCGTTTGCCTGTTTGCACCCCACCACCCAGCCATCGCATCGAGAAACTGGTTCCGCTTTGGCGGTACTAGTTCCAGTTCCAGTTCCAGTGCCGGGCCTGGGTACAGTTGCGTCTGCGTCTGCGTCTGCGTCTGCGGCTCTTAAATTTGTAGCGTACGCTTCGATTAGATTAATTTTTTGCTTACAAATTATATAAACATACAAAATCAAGACAAGTTTACTGGGTCCCTCCCCCCTGTCACTCTGTCACTCTGTCCCACACTGTCAAAACGATTCGATGATTCCCTGCATTTTGCATGTCTGGTGGCAGTCGCTAATCGATTATTTATTTTTTTTTGTTTTTAGCTTAAGCCTAGGTTCTACTGCTTTGAGACGGTGCTATGCCACACACACATCGCCCTCCTTCCACTCCTCCAAGTCCAAGTCCATGTCCATTCACAGTTTTAGCTTTCTCTCTTCATTCATATTTGATTGCAGCTTTTGGTTACTTATAGAGTATTTCCGGTAAGACTTTCTTAAGACTTTGTAGACTCACACACATGCACACTTGCAACACACACACACACACACACACACACACATACACTTGAATTAGTCACTAAATATTTTAAGCGCTTTAAGCCTTAGTCTAAGCCTTAGAACATTTTCTGCGTCCCACTGTCGCCCAATTTTCGATGCAACATTCCGAACGACACACACACACACACTCACACGAACCTTATTTACTTAAACATATACAAGACACACATATACATATACACCACATACATACATACATACATACAAATATGCGAACCCCATATACATATAACTTTGGTTTTTTTTTTGCGTACTTTTGTAAGCGGCGCCCAAGAGATGAAGTGAGAAGAGAAAGTGTTCAATAAATTGTTTAGAATCCCTCAAGTGTGTATTTTCTATTTGCTTTTGTTTTGTTCTTGTGGGGTATGAAATGGAAACGGAAACGGAAACGGAAGTGGACACGTGAGTGCTGTACCTGGCATGTTCGTGAAACACGCACAAATTTGCAGTCTGCTTTGAGGCGCAATGAGCGCCACAGACGATTCACGCTGTCAGACAGACTCCAGACTACAATTTTAATTTGAATTAATTGTAATCGTTGCTGCACTTTGGGTGTTCCACTTCCACTTGTTGCGTGTACTGTACATTTGTGATCCCTTTTTCTTGGTGATATTTTGCAAGCATTCCATTTCCAAATGGAATTTAAATGAAATTTCATAGTTTCTTTAATTTCATCTTAGCTAATTTTTATTCAATTGTCAATTTTTCAATTACAAATGTTGCACTTAATTCTCTATATGCAGATAGACAAATGCCTTGCCACAAGCGGTAAATGGTAGAGAGAGTCTGCAAGTCTGCAAGTCTGCATGTGTATGGGTGTGTTTGTGTGTGTGTGTGTGTGTGGGTTCAATAAAATTCAAATATGAATGATGAGAATGAGCATTTTACTAGATGATTGCGTAAGTTAATAAAATAATTTAACTAATTTTCCCCTAAATTAAACTCGCGTTTCAAATACCAAAACACACGCAAGAAAAAAAAAAACAAAAAAAAAAAGAAATTTTAAGCACATTTTTTGTTTGCTTAAAATTCAATTTAGAAATTTTGCGATTTGTTTTTCGATGTGGCTTAAAGCTATAGCTTGATATCGTACGATATTCTCAAATATATGTATTTTATGGTACTAAATATGTAAGTATTTATTATTATGTATTGGTATCAATAAATAAATAAGTTTTCCCTTAATCCTAGATTATGTGAACTCTCTCATCCTCTCATCTACTCATATTTGCGCTGTCAACGCTGAGCACCGCTTCTGGCTGCAAGGTGAATTTACTAATAAGCTGATGCAAGGTGAATTTGCTAGTAGCAGACGTCGCGGCTCTAAGCAGCACTCCCTGTGCAGCTACCACCTTATGAGTAAATTCGCCTTGCTGCTGCGTGTGTCGCAACAACCGCAACATTCTGTTGTGTGTCTCTCTTTCTCTATGTGTTTGTGTTTTTGTGTGTTGTTCTTGTGTTTTTACGACTAAATGCACCCAAACAGAAAAAATGTAATGGATCTGTCGATCGTTCAGCACCAATACGTATGTGAAACGGGAACCCTTTTTGGAGTCTTTTTGTGTGTGGTTCGTGTCGAGTATTGCATTGTTGCCCGGATACGGACGAGAAGCTAACATAACGGTGTGCGTGCCATCTCCATCTTCATCTCGGAATCTCACTCTCACTCTCTCACTCTCTCTCTCTGAACGGCACCAAGCAAAAACAAAACAAAAAATAAATAATAATTGGAAGGCAAAGACGAAGACGAAGACGGAGCAAAGGCCACAATCCAATCCAATCCAATCCGATGTCCGATCACCGATCACTGAACCGTTTCGTGCCCTACAACGGGACTCTGCTGCCGCACCTGCTGCACCTGCACCTGCTCCTGCTGCTGCTGCTGTTGCTGCTGCTGCTGCTGCATGTGGCGCAGTCGGAAGAGGCGCAGAGTCATCCAGGAGGCCAGGGTGCCGGGCACCGGCATGGGCGTATGCTTCTCCAGCGCCTCCTTCTGCAGCTGGTAGCGATAGAGCAGCGAGCCGGCGACCAGGGCCGACACAATTGTCGCCGAAATGACAACAATGAACAGAATGCTGAAGCCGGGCACCGGCATGCAGATGCCGTAGACAACCTCCTCGCTGATCTTGCCCTGGAACACGGTCACCGCCTCCTGCTTCGAGTCCGGCGAGAAGGCCAGATCCGCCTCCGAGATGACGTCATAGAGTCCACTGACACCCACATCGGCGCTGCGCACCTTGCGGTCGGAGATGACCAAAGACCGACGACGACGACTGCGACTGCGACTCGGGTCAGGGCTCTCCGGCGCCTCAGTGGTGGATGATGTGGAGCTGGAGGCGCCCTCCTTGTGCTCCTCTGCTACGTCCACATCCAGATCGACATGATCCTCGCGCGACTGCTTCAGTGGCTCCGCCTGGGGCCGATAGACGGGGCGCGGCACATCCTCAGCATCGTTGCGGGGCTCCAGGGAACGGGGTCCGGCCATGGGCACGCCCATGCGCTTCTGCGCCTCCAGCTGCCGCGGCCCATGGGGGAACTTGCCGCTCTTCTTCAACCCCAAGTAGCGCTCACCATCACTGCCCTCCATGTCGGCCAGATCGGCGAGATCGTCGTCCCCAAACAGATCGGACAGGTCCACTTCCTCCTGCTCCTCGTGCACGGGTCGCGGCTGCAGATTCGCGCTCTTCTCGTGTGCCCCTCCATAGTCCCCAACGGATCCCTGACCAGCGCCAATTGTCTGCTTCTGGTCGTGTATTATGTCCTCATAGAAGATGTCATGATCCACACCCGAACCCATGCCCATGCCCATGCCCATACCCATGCCCATGCCCAGTCCATGCTGGGCCGGGGGCAGGGACAGATCCCGCAGGAGGTCGTTGGTGCTGCTGCTGCTCATTGGATCGCCCATGTGGACATCCTTGCGCTCGTTGGCATTGGTCACGCCATGGCCCAGGCCGAGGGCGAGACCCTCACCGCTGCCAGCACCCGCAACGCCCGAGTTCTGGCAGTGATCGAGGCAGCCATGACGGCAGATCTCCACCTTGCACTTGATGTGCACACTCAGAGCATCGGGGAACTTGAAGGCGTGGAAGAAGGCGTACGTGATGACGGTGGCCCTCTCATCGGGTGCGCGCGCCTTCAGGAATCGTGAGATCATCTTGGGCCGCAGCACGCAGCCAAACTCATCCGACAGATTGATCACATGCCCCGATCCGTCCGAGGCCAAGCAGGACTTGACGCGCATATCGAACTCGCCTGCAGGATAACGATACATTCAGAGTTGCATTCAGCATTCAGCATTCAGCATTCGGCGATAGTCGTAGTCGTACTCACCGCGATAGTCGTTGATGGCCACAACGAGGGTCAGAGTGGAGCCGAGGGGCACGATGCCGCTTACAGGCGGCGCCCAGGGTCCCTTGCCATGCTGAATCTCCATCCAGCAGTCGACGTTGTCACCTAAGCAGGGCAGACAAGCGATTCAAGAGCGATTCAAACTGATTGCATTGAACTTTGCATTGACTTACCGCGAAAATCGAGCTGAATCACATCGAGATCGGCAATCACCATCGGTGGCTTGGAGGCGGTCTTCTCGTAGTCATTGAACCATTCGCAGCGCAGACGCTTCGCCTCGTCCCACACCTCGAGCAGATCCTTGTCGTACTGCACGACCACCTGTGATGCGAAATGTTTGATCGATAACAAATCGATTGCTATCGATTGCAGTGCGAAAACTCACCGTATTCTCGTAGAACTGCCCGTTGAGGTCCGGCTTGGTGCCGCATCGTGAGTACGAGATGCGAAACGAGAAGAATGTCTTGCCCGTCGAAGGCGGCACATAGACGCAGCGCGGATCGCTATGTTGTCCTGAACAGAGATGCAGGAAAGGAGTTTCATATTAGATACCACAAACATACGGAAGTTGTGGTTGGGACATACCTTTGGAGCTTACAATTCCCTCAAATGGATGCGAGAATGTCAGATGCACATCCATGTGATCCTTGCCGCACATCACCTCCAGCGAGACAATGTTGGGCATGCCGTCGGGCCGGTCCATGGGCCACAGTTCATTACCAGCTATGACTAAACTAAACTGAAATGCAAGAAGGTGGAACGAGAAGTTTGTAAGTGTCTCATCTCTAGTCCCATCTCTAACGCTCGTCTGCCATCTCTAGCCTTGTGGGTGGCATCTAACGGTTCGCGACTGGCACCTGGCACCTGGCACCTGGCAAACGAGTTGCCAATAAAAACGAAACGGACAAGTCCAGTCTCTATCCCAGGCAGCCCCACGGCCAGGGCCAATGAAGGCCAATCGAGAAATGAGAAAGCGAATTCCGTCAGGTTGTGCATCCGCCGAAACTGGTCTGTCCCGATCTCGATCTCCTGGGTATACCCCAAGCCGACTCCTGCATTTGCATTTACATACTGATACTCGGCCAAACTGCCTTGCTGGAGACCCCGTCTGGTGGCGAGGATCAATTGGGGGCTCTGAAAATTCCAAATTTGCATTCATGTATCCGTTCATGCCACTAACAGTTACAGCTGCACCTGCCAGTGCCCCCATACGCAGCGGTGCCACATTGTCTGGGCAGACACAGCCAAAGCTCGCTCTCCGCTCTCCGCTGGCAGCTGTAAAAGCATTGCACATGCACATGAGTACGGTACGTACACATACATACACATGGCAACCTATGCAAGATAATCAATCAATTTCGAGTTTCGCTGCCACTTAACATTTGCGGCACTCGAAATGTGTGAATATGCTCCTCTGTTAATCTTCTGCTTCCACTCTCTGCTAGCATTCCGTTAACCCCTGCCGCTAACGTCTGTTAATTATGTCCGCTAACATACTGTTAACACTCTGCGCTTACATATTGTTACCCCTACCGCTGACGTCTGTTGCCCCTCTCCATTAACAGTCTGTTAACTCTCTGCATTAACATCCTGTGGCCGCTCCCGTTTACAGCTCTCTGTTAGCTAACGCTGCGCGCTCTCACGATCCACACGGCCTTCGCTAGCTTGTGAACTTGAACCTGCTGAGTTAATTAAGCTCAATCACCCCCGCTGCAGGCGGACGCGACTGTCAAGTGGAAACAGTCATGGGTGCCAATTAACTGCCAGGTGGTGCAAGCCATTTCAACTCATCTTTCAGAACTTACTCAA